CGGCAAGCACGGTGTCGTAAAGATGTTCGACGCATCCCGCGGCCGTGTCGCGGTGACTGTCGAAGGCAAGGGCCTCTCTGTACGACCGGAGAACCTTGCGCTAGCCGATCGCGAGGCCAGCCTGGTGGCCGCGCTGCAAGCGCTGTGCGTCGCTCCCGGCCCGGGCTGGCATTCAGCCAAGGAGCTCCACTCGCGGCTACTGCAGCAGAGCGAGTGGGCTGGCGTCTCGCTGCAGGAGGTGAAGCGTGGGTGCACCGTTCTGGCGCAGAGCGCGCCGCCAGCCGCCAATGGCACGGTTGCGGATGCCGCCGCCTCAGAGACAGAGGCTGCCGAGGCGGGCGCGGCAGCAGACCCGGCGGCGCGCGTGGCGACGCTGCTCGAGGTGCTACGCGCATCGCGCGCCGGCAGCGAGGAGCGGCGGGCAGCGGTGGAGGAGCTGCTCGCGCTGCTCAAGGCGCACGGTAGCAGCAGGAGCGTGGTCAACGCGCTGGTCGACGGCGAGGGCCCACAGACGCTCTACGCGATCGAGAACTCGATGCAGGGCGACTGGCACACGGACGCCCGCAACGGCACCCTCACGAGGATCGGAGAGATCGTGCGGCTGAGCGGCCCGGTCGGACTCGCCGTGTCGCGCTACAGGGCGATGTCGACGCGAAAGGTGGAGGCGGCAGTGGCCGGCATGCACGACGGGTGTGAGCACGACTAGCCGCCAATGGTTCCCGCTCTTTTTTCGGCGCTCTAAATGCTCTGTCGTCTGTGCACCGTTGGTTCGGGCTCCTAGCCAGACACCGAGCGCGGTCTACTTCTGTGATAGGTATAGGTTTTTTAGTGTGTTGTCGCAGTGTTGTTAGACCATAGTGCATAGTTCCATAGAGCAGACCATGCTCCATGGTGTTTTGTTGTTGGCTTCAGTTCACTTGGCATCAAACACAAGACTGAGGGCCCAACAGGAGAATCGTGCTTTCAGTGGGGTTGTTTGGTGTTGGGTTGGGTTGGTTGGGGGTTGGGTTGTTCCGCGTGAGGACTGAGGTTGGGTCGTCGGCGCGAAGGGTGAGGTCTCGACCGCCGCCGCTCACGCGCATAGCGGACGGCCACCATCGGTGTTTTTGGCTTCGCCACCGTTCAAAGCGTGCGCAATGCGCTCGCCGGCATCGAGCGAGCACGCCTGTCCGACGAGCGGCTTGCTGTGTGGACGCCTTCTTGTGGCTCTCGCCGAGAGG